CTGCCTCATTTCCTGCAGGGAGTCCAAAGAGAGAAACAAAGAGCACAGGTGATTTGTTGTGTCGGGGACAGTGGGCAAAGCAGTGTCAAGGTACAAAGGAATGACAATCACGTGACATAAGGCTGAATTGACCTGATGTGTAACTTTGGGAACCCTGAGGAATCAAAGGACTATGTCTTGGACATGCTATTATCATTGGATCGTACCTCCTCATGGTTTTTCTTGAGAGCGATCAGCTCATCCTTCAAGGACTCCAGCTCGGATTCCAGTGAAGATCTAACCAGAGTCAGGTCATCCAGGAGATTTCTCAAGCCATTAATATCAGCCTCCACAGTCTGACGGAGGACCAGCTCATTCTCATACCTGTACCACAGAGCACAGAGACAGAGAAATGGGGAAATGAGTCAGTAGTTCAAATCTTTGCAAGGCTGGTATCCTAGTAAAACACGAAGACTCAGTAACACCACTCAGGGCAGTGCTGCCTTGTCTCCTGTGATTATGAGCAAGGTATGAAAGATGCATGGTTCACAGAGAGATACTCACTTCATTCGGAAGTCATCAGCAGTCATCTTGCTGTTATCGATGTCCAGAATCAGTTTGTTATTGTCCACAGTGGCAGAAATGATCTGTGAAAGGGGAAGTTGGAGAGGGGTCTTTCTGTATTCCAGACATTCAGGACAAGAGGCAAGAAGACCCGAGGCTTTGGTAGGGCTTTGTAAAGCTGATTGTGAGGGGAGGCCTTGGTGCTTCCACCTGGTGTACGCAGGAGTGGGCAGAGACCAAGGGAGTTCAGATCTTGCGGTCCAGGTGCTTTGGCTTTGCGCTCCATCCAGCTGAACTGGGTGGGAGCAAAGGGGAGGACTGGAAACCACACATGCCTAGTTTGGAGCCACCTGTGGAACGTGGGATTTCAGCTGCGTGTGCCAGCACGTCTGGGCCTGGTGGAGCACTCCTTGATGCCTGGGGCTGCGCCCCCAGAGCACATCCCTTTTGCTTGTGGGGTGGTG